TTCTGCGTGCACGTTTTACCAGGTCAGTATGTGTAATATACTTACTGAAGATCTAACAGTAGTGCATAATGCGTCCGTGCTACTGGGAACAGTAATTGTATTACGGTAACCTCCAGGCCAATTATTACAGCCACTAACCATCAGCAGGCCGAGCAGAGAGGCCATCAGCCTGAAAACGAGCAGGCTGATGAGATTATGCTCTGTGTCCATGTTTTATGTCATATTCATGATTTTATTCATCCACAGTTAACCCCTCACTTCAGACCACATCAGCAAACTGTCAACAATGTCTTCATATAACAATATCTGCTGTTACAGTGAGGACACACAGTCTGTCCCTGCTGTACATTTTCTGTCACTTTATAAAATAAAACTTATTTTACATTAATTATGTAAATTCACAGGATACTTCTGTAATTTTATTAATATTTGCATGAATATAAAAAATGTAAATCTGTAAAATAAACAGGAGATTATTTTTACAGAGTAGATTTTATTTAATATCTTTAAATCTTCCATAAGATTCTGAAACATTTTATTTTTATGCGTTAATCAGATTTTGGGCTACAGAGACAAATACAGTCAATAACAATAAATCTGTTTTATACCACCAGGTTTATGTTTTCAGTTATTAGAATGAATAATATGGCCTCATACATATTATTCTGCAGAGTATTTTTACTCTGATCTGAGAATAAAAAACAGAATCATTTCTTTGTATGTTTCTAAAAAAACTTACAGTATGTAACTCTGACATTTACTGAGTGGAAGTAACAGAAAATAGAAATATTCAAAGTGCTTCATAGTTGTATTTAAATACAGATTAAATGTACGAGGTTAGGAACCCGATTTCAGCTCATCTGCAGAAACCGGATCCAGCTGATCCTGATTCAGGACTGGAAGGAGGAGACGGTGGATTCAGGCCTCAGTTCAGAAAAGAAGCCGGACCAGTTTGACTTGTTAACAAATCCCTTTGTCCCCCTTTTTAAACCATGTACAGACTGCTGGAGTTACAGGAATACCTCCAGTTTAACCTCTTCACACCCAATTATGGACTTTAGGGACTTTATATAATATTTATTTAACACCAATAATGTCAAAATGAATGTTTCTGTGTTTTTATCTGTCTCGTCCTCCAGTATGGTACAGTGCTATTACACTGCTATAAAGTCATTCTTTAGGTATTTTCAGGTTTTCTTAATGATATTTTAGAGGAACACAAACTTTCCAGCTGATTAAACATGAATAAAAACATACTTATAAATATTATATTAGAGTTCTGACAATAGATCCTCTTCAATGTTTCACACTGCAGCTTTAAATAAAGACGTAATAATGTTCACACAGACATAAACAGATCATTATTATATATTTCAGACATATTGGAACAGGTTGAGCATGCTAACTGTTAGTCTGATGCTCCTGATGTTTGTTTATGGAATCACTTTGTGTCTTTATTGTGCAACCAAACAGATTGAGAGCAAACTACCAACAATCAAACATGTTACTGTGATATTAAATCATTAATCAGCCTGTAGCTGCTAGCTTAGCTCAGTTAGCTGTATTCCTTTATGAGTGTGTCTGTATTTGCATAAACACAATAAAAATAAAAAGAAGGAGTTAATTGTCTCTTGATGGATCATCTGAAGAAGAAATGGTTGCTCTGTCTTCACTAGATGGCGCTCTCCGCTCTCAGAGTCTCAGTCCATCAAAGTTCTCTCTGTTGGCTGTCTGAGGAGATATTTTGTGATAAAGTGCCAACTTTCCATCGACCTGCTTCAAACTACAGAAGTTAGAGGTTATAGCCTACATTTCCCAGCATCCCTTTCAGCAGCTTTCAGAGAAGGTGTGTGAGTGTGTGTGTGGGTGGAGAGAGAAACAGTGAGTGAAACTAAAGGGTTTTATTCCAGTGAAGAAGAAGTTAAAGTATCTCCCCTCTTTCACTGTGTTCTGATGAAAGTCCTGGTCCTGGTCCTGGTCCTGGTCTGGGTCTTGGTCCTGGTCCTGGTCCTGGTCCTGGTCTCTGGTCCTGGTCTGGGTCCTGGTCTGGGTCCTGGTCCTGGTCCCGGTCTTGGTCCTGGTCTTGGTCCTGGTCTTGGTCTTGGTCTTGGTCTGGGTCCTGGTCTGGGTCCTGGTCCTGGTCCCGGTCTTGGTCCTGGTCTTGGTCTTGGTCCTGGATCATAGCGTTATGCATGATAATATAACTAAATAAAAATAAATATTAATATGAATAAAAACTGACCTAGAAGGTGAGGTAGATTAATTAAAGTCTTTAAATGGCTGCACACAATAAAGTGGTTCCCAACCTGAGGGTCCGGACCCCCGGAGGGTCTCAAGATTATTCTGAAGGATCGCCAGAGAATTAAAGGTCCAGTGTGCAGGATTATGTTTGCCTTCCCCTCACCCTCACTGTACCCTCACATATGCTATAAACTAGGCTAATGTTGTTGGAAAGACAACCACATTTTAAAGATGGTTAAAAGATAAAGAAACATAAATATAGTTACATCTTAAGTTATCTAATGTTAGCACAACACTAGCCAACTAGCTAACTAATAATTAATGTAAATTATAGTTTGCTAGCATTTTGCTCACATTAGCTTTCAGCTGTAACTAACTAACAAACCGTTACAGAACTAATGTCGTACAATTCACATCCAACTGATGGTTTTTCTGAGTGTTCCTAAATGAAAGGAGTGAAACTGAGCATAAAGCATTATCTTCATATAAACTGATTAGAGATTAAATATACAAAATAGTGTCAATTTAAATCTGCACATGAATAACAAGTGTATATATCTGTAAATATCTTTAATACAAACACATAAATAATAATAAATAATGAATAAAGGTTGTAACAGGTGCATTACAGAGCAGCTGGAGAGGAGCCCGCCGTCCAACACGTTCTCTCTGGAGAAATAAAAGTTAAAAGCATTTGAGGCTGAGCCGACGCATCAGTAACACTCACTTCAGCCCTGAGCTGAGAGTTTGGCCTCCGCAGTGTTAGATAACACAAACTCCAATATCACAAGTACTGTACAGTGTACGAGCTGCAGGTCCCTCGGAAACCTCTGCAGGTGGCTGATGTGGAAAAAGGGTCGGTTCACTCAAATTACCAACAAACATCTTTTCTCATTGACCTTTCTGAGAGTCCTCCGCCCCGAGACAGTGGAAGCAAATGTAAATCCAACATGGCGGACTCCGCCAGCAGAGGACCCGCTGCCTCTGTAGATAAAAAACAAATTTTAAGGTAACAAACACACAATGATTCTTATTATCAGCTGATTAAACACTAATGAAACACACCGTTGGATATTATTTGTTATTTTAACCCCAACCAGGTAGATTAAACCAAACCTTCACAGCGTACGATCATAAAACTGATTTATCTTAAATATTTGTAACAGAAACGATCAGTGAACACTTCCAACAGCGTATTGTGCCTTTTACCTTAAAATGAATGACAGATTTTTGATTATTAAAGCAGGTTATTTGTCATGTCTGATGGATCTTTTTAAGACTCGTCCTCTGGCCGCTGCACCTCTGTTTTAATTGGCTGTCAAAAATAACCCTTCAGTTTCACCTCGGAGCGGGAACCCAGGGGACAAGGCCGCCACGTGCACGTGGTGAAGGGCTCTGCGTGGGCCTGGATGCGGCCGTGCGACCTCTGCTTTACTGCAGTACAAACACTCTCTCTCTCTGTCAGTGTGGGCTGGTTCACCGTCTTTATGTAAAACCTCTGTGGGAGGGGAGCACATCGCAGTGAAGGGCTTCAGAAATGTGATCCAAGTGAGAGGCAGGCTGCGGTTCCCACAAATCTTCACAATATGTTCATTTTGTTCCGTTAAACTGCTGCTTTCGTCCTCCGGCGGTGGTTTGCATTGAAACAGAGGAAGAAGAAGAAGAGGAAGAGGAGGATGCAGGCCTTGCTTGCTTTGTGTGAGTTTGCTCTGTCCGCTATGGAAGCCCATTAACACCAGGAAAATAAAAACATAATATGAAAACTTAGCCTTGATAATGAAATAAAAAGTTTAAATTATGACCTCAAAAACAAATAGAAGATAAAAAGTCTAAATTAGGAGACAAAATGTCAAAAATATGAAATTATGAGATACAAAGTCATATTTTGTGGGGTGGTTTTGTCATATTTTTATTATTAAAATGGACTTTCTTTATCTTCTTTTTTTATTTTACTGTCAGTAAACAGCTCCATAGCCCTCTGCTGCTGCCACAGCTCTGGAGAGGAGAAAATTAGTTCATTTCCTCCTCTTTTTTTAGCAGCTGCACGGCCTCAGAAGCTCCAGCAGGTGGCAAAGCGCTCACCTCTCCCCTCTCGGCCAATCAGAGCGCGGAGGGCTGGTGGGGTGGGCGGGACGCAGGAAAAAAGAGAGGGAGAGCCACAGAGCTGAGATAAAAGTAAAGAGGGCAGAGTAAACGGAGCAGCACACGCTCACAACTGCGAGCAGAGCAAAGCAAAAACAAAAAGGAGTGGAGGAGCAACAGGTCGCAGAGAGGAGGAGGAGGAGGAAGAGGAGGAGAAGTGCAGCTCCTCCTTCTGCACACTCTTCTGTCAAACTTCCTGGATCTGCTGAGCGAGAGAGAGCATGAGGAGGAGAGAGGCTTCCTCAGGCTGGGAGGGTTAGGAGAAGGAAGGAAGCCAGTTTAGAGAACCCCCCCTCCACCCTCCCTCTGCTCCACCACCTCCTCCCTCCTGCTCCTTCCTCCCCGCTGCTGGAACACTTTGTTTGAATGCTTCCTGGTGTGAACTGAAGCTGAGACACACGGAGGATCTGAAGCTGCACTTCCTGTCTGAAGCTGTCAGAATGGCTGACTGCTCCTCAGACCGTGTGCTGACCTCCGACCAGCTCCGTCTGTGAGAGGAGCAGCAGGCAGAGAGAGGGAGCCCGCCCAGGCAAGGCCATGGATCCTGAGGAGGAGCAACCCTCGCTGCAGGATGAAGGAGAGGGGACCTTCACCTCCACCTCTGTGGCCTCCTCATCCTCCTCCACCTCCACCTCCACCTCCACCTCCTCAGCCTCCAACGTCGAGCTTCCCTCCGCTGCCCCCGTCCCCCCCTGCCACCACGCCAGCAGGACCTTCACCGGCCTGAGGATCTTCTGCAGGAGGTGAGTTCAGCTCCTCCACACCCCCTCCTCCTCCTCCTCCTCCTCCTCCTCCTCCTCACACACACACTGACTTTCAGCCAGTTAAAGCTGCACAGGAAGTGATGCAGCTGAGATGTGCTTACACTTGGAAACAGGACGTTATTGAAGAAGGGTCGCTGCTAAAATCTGTAAAAAATTAGGTTTGGAGTGTGGAGTTTGGTTCGTCTTTGGTTTGTTAAAATCAATAGAAAATGAAATGGACTTTGGTTTGTCCTTTGTGTGTAGTTTTTAGTTTTCTTCCTTCAGGAGCTACATACAAAGATGAGATGATACGGTTTTATTGATACCAACCAGCGGAGTCAGAATGAGTTTGAAGTCGGGGGGCGTTCAGCTTTGGATGATGTAATTCACTGGTGAAGTTGTTCATCTCACCTTCCTTTCAGTCTCAACCTGCCCACAGTTTCATGCTCAGTGAGGAACCAGCAGAATATCTATAAAGACACTGCTCTCTAGTTTGTGCTTGTACGGTTTCATGAGGCTGTGAATATCCTCGGGGCAGAGGTCTCAAACTCAAATAGTCCTCTAATAGGACACAATCATATTCTGGCAATATTTCCATCAAAATTCAAACAGCAGTTTCTGAACATTTTATATCATCTTTGTTGAATTAGAGGCTGAAATGGGTCAGAACTCACCAGAACTCACCCGTACTGAGCACCGTTACTTCTTATTGAGTACCGCCACCTCAGTCTCGCCGCTGAGGGCACCGAGGTTTCAGTATTTTTTCCATCATTCCTAAAAATAACTAACTTTGATGCCCTCAAACCTCAGACCTCCGCAGTGCTGGTGGGGTTCTCCTTAATGCCTCTCTGTGGTAACACAGCTAGCTTAATGCTAAATTTCTTTTTTAAAAAGGATGAAAAACAGCAAAATAATTAAGGTTATGTTGCGCTGAATTCAAGTGCTGGCACCTTTTTTGGTCCAATTCAGGCAATTCTCATATGGGGGTTCCCCTAGGGGCACTTTGGAGTGCTGCAGCAGGTACTTGAGATTGTTTTTTAAATGTTAATTTAAAAAACAATAATGTATAATTCCTAACATAATTATATTTTAGGAACTGCCACAGAGAATTACAAACATCCTCAGTTAAGCTTGTCAAAAAGACAATTCAGTGTAACGTCAGTGAGTTTAATGAGTCTTTGTTCAATAAATGAGACGCTGAAGTCACGGCGCTGTATTTTATCAAAGATGTTTTATTATTTTGAGTAGTTTGAGTTTCTTTGTGAAATGAAGCTGTGGACCGGCGGGAGGGGTCCTCCTGGTCCACTCTTCTCTCGTGGAGCGAGCACTATGGCTGCGTTTGTGAACCGTTCATGTGACCTCCGCCCACTATCTCACCATCACAGTTTGACTCCTACCTAATAACGGATGTATGCTTGTGATATGTACATGAATGTGACTACGTAGCAGACTGATACTGACACTAAATATTACAGGAAAACTCCATTTAAATTACATTTTAACAAGTTTAAGTGTTACTATTTTGATAGTAGGCCTATTATGTGTTTAAATGAATGTAATTAATTAATTAACTAAAGTATTTCCTACAATGGTTTGAGGAATAGAAAAGAAGAATAAGCCGAAATGACTTTAAACTCAATATTTCTGACTGTTTTTGCAGACAGGACTCTGAGGAGCTCTGACTGCCATGTTTGGACAGTTTGTAGTCACCATTCCAAACTCCCTTTACATTTTTGTGGTTTAACCCTCTAAAGCAGTGACACTAGCAGTGATCTCCACCAACAGAGCTTCTGAACAAGTTTGCCAAAGTGTGATGATTGTTTCGGTTTCACAAATGTGAGAATTTACTGGTTTCCTTTGTCTTTTTTTAGTCAACTGAATCTTAAATCTTTGGGTTTTTGAGTGTTGGACAATAGTTTGATGATGGTTGTTTTTCACCGTTTCACTTCAAAACTCCATTTATATTTTAGCTGTTTTAAGCAGTTCAATGTAGTGATATGTATGGATATAGATGTTATCAGCAGGAGTTATCAACAGACGATAGTGAAAGTTACCACAACAAAGGATTTAAAGAATTTGCTGTCTTACGTTACTAAAAGTAGAATATTTTGGGGTTTTAGACTGTTGGTCGGACGAAATGAGACATCTGAAGACATGACTTTGGCTTCTGAGGAGCTTTGACTGGCATGTTTGGACATTTTGTAGTCGTAATTCCAAACTACCTTTACATTTTTGCCATTTTTGAGGTTTATCCCTCTAAAGCAGTGACACTCGCAGGGATTTCCGCTACAGAACTTCTTGACAAGTTTTTGCTGATTGTTTCAGTTTCACAAATGTGAGAATTTGCTGATTTTCTTTGTCTTTGTTTTAGTGAATTAAATCTTGAAACTTTGGGTTTTTAAGAGTCACAGTGAAACTTCAAAACTCCATTCAAATTTTAGCTGTTTTTCTCAGTTTAACACAGTGGTACTATGGAGCCCATACAGATGTTGTCAGTGGGAGTTTGACCTTGAACTCAAACAGCTGGACCGCGACACCAAGCAAAACAAACTGTGAGATCAGTATCAGCAGAGACAAGTCTAAAAAAGGCTCGGAAATGATAGTGAAACCAACCACAGCCGACGGGGAAAAAACAGCCAGTTTCATTATTTCAACCGTCAGTTGTCGGATCAGAATGTTTTTCAGCAGCTCACACCTACAGAGGACAAATCTGATGTTTTTCTTTCTTAGGTTTTAGTCAATAGAATACTTAGGTTTTAGTCAATAGAATATTTTTAGGTTACAGACTGTTGGTCGGTGAAGCAGGACGTCTTATGAAGCCAATTATCACCAGAAGAATTGCTGAAACACATTTAACAAATATAACAGTTTATACACAAAATAAATGATGAAACAGTAGGTTTCACGATGGTTTGTGAGTCATTAACATCTTCTGCTGACACTGAGGGTCAAACACCAAATCAATAACTGATTATTAACAAAGTGTTAAACTCTCTCCAACAAATGTCATAGTATTTAGTTCAGTGTCTGTATGGGCTCGACAGTATAGCTGCTTTACAGGGTTAAACTGCAAAAAACAGCAAAAATCTGAATGGAGTTTGGTAGCAGGGCTGAAGCTAACATTTATTTTCATTGTCAATCATCATTTTATCTAAAAACCGTCAGATTAGTGAAAAATATCTATTATAGCGGTGGATATTTTTAAGGAGGCGTCTTCAAATGTCCTTTGGGCTGAACAACAGTTTACTGTGACAGTTCTCACATTAAAAACTTAAAACAATACAAGTTTTGTTATTTCTGCTGAAGGAAATATTTAGAGGATGAAACATTAAATACATCAACTGTCACTTTTTAAGCAAAAATCTACTGAATGCAGTTTGTGAAATTAGGGCTGGGCGATAAATACATTTTATCGATTTGCTAAAAAAACAAAAAAAAACGATTAAAATCGTAAATCGGGTTTGGTGTGAAAAAAATCGGAGATTTTATTTTTAAGCCATATCGCCCAGCCTTATGTGAAATGTGAACATTTGGTCTGTCGAGGATCTCTCCTCTATAACATCAGGTTTTAATATTGACCATATTGCTTCCTGCAGACAGGTCAGTGATTTGATTAAAAGCTGTGCTGCTCTCTGCAGGCCACTGGCTGGGTCCGCCATCAGATACCAGGTTGCACTCAGCTAATATTTATATTGATGGTGTTATTAAATGTATCCTGAATGAGTGAATACGTTTTTATTATTTTGTTGTTCATATGGAGGATCAGTAGTGCCTGATGTAACGTATGTTTTCATCACAAGTGGCCCTTCATAAGCCCCGCCCCCTTTTTACTCTTTGCTCCAATCACAGTTGAGCAAGCCTCAGTCAACTTCCTCCTTTCCTGTACATAGATATGCTATATGCTAAGCTAATATGTGCTGAAAAGACAACCACATTTTCAAGATGGTTAAAAGATAAAAGAGACATATATATATATACTGCCACATCTTAAGTTAGCTAATGTTAGCATAACGCTAGCTAACTAGCCAGTTTACATTAATCATTAGTTATAAAAATAAATGCAAAATACATAAAAACTTGTGGTCATATTTCAACTCCTACTTTATTCATCTTTATTACTTTATATTAAGTTTTGGACTTTTGATCGGACACAACGAGCCACCTGAAGACGAATCAGTGGTTCCACATTACAGTTTATAAAACATCCATCAGAGTACAGGAACAGTGAGTGTTTGAGCTGTACGTGTGCAGTAATGTGTTATCATAGTTTATTCATAGAGACTTCTATCTATACACACACACACTACATGTACACACTCAGTACACACTCAGTAGTGAGGGCTGTTTCCAGCAGGAGGTCAAACTGGGCCACACTCTGACTTCCTGTTTGATCTCTGAGTAACATCAGTGTGTCTGTTAGTCACTGTGCTGATAAAGTACTGCAGTAACTCTCCTAAAGTACTGCAGTAACTCTCCTAAAGTACTGCAGTAACTCTACTAAAGTACTGCAGTAACTCTCCTAAAGTACTGCAGTAACTCTGATAAAGTACTGCAGTAACTCTGATAAAGTACTGCAGTAACTCTGATAAAGTACTGCAGTAACTCTCCTAAAGTACTGCAGTAACTCTGCTAAAGTACTGCAGTAACTCTGCTAAAGTACTGCAGTAACTCTGCTAAAGTACTGCAGTAACTCTGCTAAAGTACTGCAGTAACTCTCCTAAAGTACTGCAGTAACTCTGATAAAGTACTGCAGTAACTCTGATAAAGTACTGCAGTAACTCTGATAAAGTACTGCAGTAACTCTCCTAAAGTACTGCAGTAACTCTACTAAAGTACTGCAGTAACTCTACTAAAGTACTGCAGTAACTCTACTAAAGTACTGCAGTAACTCTCATAAAGTACTGCAGTAACTCTGATAAAGTACTGCAGTAACTCTGATAAAGTACTGCAGTAACTCTGATAAAGTACTGCAGTAACTCTGCTAAAGTACTGCAGTAACT